TTATAACCATGTCTACGCACTCTCCTTCACCGGACTTAGATTCTTCGTTGTTTACGGCCCATGGGGAAGACCCGACATGGCGTATTTCTTTTTCACTAAAGATATCCTCCAAGGCAAACCCATTGACATCTACAAAACGTCCTACCAAAAAGAGGTGGCGTATTTCTTTTTGCAATCGACATCTACAAAACGTCCAGATTCCAGGATCCATCTCTGTTGATATGCTTTTCTCAGATTTCATGCCTTTTTCAATCAAGGATTTTGGGTACAACTCTCTTTATTTTTGAAAATACCATCAACGAAGATAACTTTATCCCTTACCCTCTACAGATTTTATTTTCTGGGTTTGTTTAGATTCTTCTTGTTTCCTTTTTTTGCAGAGTTGATCAGAAGCTTGAATGTATATCGATTGGGAAACGGAGAGGAAAAGAAGGTAGAGAGAGAGTTTGTTTTCAGAAAAGATGGTGTTTACGTGAAAACAATGACGCATCCTCTTCTTCTATTGCAGGGGTTTCCACCTCATGAGCTTTTTGAAGGCAGAGTTATTGATTTGTAGCTTTACCCTTTTGCTTTTAATGCCCATCATCTCCCTTGCTTCTTCTTCATTCCTTCTTTACTTTCTATTTCCTGGTACCTTGTTTTCATTTCATTCTATGATTTATCATTCATTTGTGTATTTCATTGCAAAAGATTAAAGGAGGAAGACAACCCTCTCATACGGGGAAGAAGATATTTTATTTTCAAACCTTTTTTCTTTGTTAAAATCTTAGGAAGTCAAATGGCTAACATGTGTGGTCATCTGGTTTTGCAAAACACTGTCGGATCATCAATTTAACATTCCACGTCAGTATTTCGTTACTCTCAATAACACACGTTAACGTCGATGGATCATTTTATAACAAACGATAGTATTAATGATCGATTTATGACTTTTAAAACATTAATGGTAAAAATAAAATTAACCCAAAAATTAGTGATCGTTGGCGTAGTTTACCCTTCAAATTAAGCTGATGAGATGGGATACATAACTCAGCCGAGGTGAATTTCAGTGTTTTTCCCGAAATATAACCTTTTACCATTAATTTTCCCTGTCAGGCACCCTTCAGGCTATTTTTCCCGATATAACACCCTTTGCAGTAAGGCGCGCCCCTTGCAGTGCGTTTTACGCTGATCTTGCGCCACGTAGGGTAAGGCGTACCCCTACAGCGCGCTTTACGCTGACATGGACACATGTGTCTAAAGAGCGGACCCTGGGGTGCGCCTTACGCCACATAGGGCTATAGCGAGAGGCAGGGGCCGCGCTTTTCAATTATCACATGCTCAATTATCAGACATGCATAATACAAGGCGCGGTGCAGGGACCGCGCCTTGCATAATTCACCCAGACCTCTCGACTTTAAAGCATCCTCTCTCGACTATAAATAACCCTCTCCCCGTAAACTCTCTCACAATTCCCACTCAACCGAGAAATTAATACAAAAATCCTTTCAACTAGTAAATAACACCCGACAATCCTCTTATATTTGATTCAGAAGTTCGTTCGATCTTTCGTTATAAGGTAATTTTGTTATAATATTTTTTTTATTATACTTATTGTTTATTATGATTATTTGAAAAAATATTATAGTAATTGTTTTCAATTAATTTATGTGTCAGCTCAAGGGAAAAGCGGGAGCATACGTCGAAATATTTTTGCGGTGCAGGTAATAATATAAAATTATAATATTTAAATTATTTATGTTTATGTGTAAAAAAAATTAGTGTTATATTTTCGTTCATATATTATTTATTTTATCAGGTTTGTTTCAGTTGTTTTTTTGCAGATATAATATTGTCGCACTTTTAAACTCTAAGAATGGTGCGACTTTCAGCTACTGTTTATTTTGATGGAGAAATTCGAGAAGATGAAACTGATTTTATTTTCGTATCAAATGAGCGTGTTAAAATATCATTCAAGAGAAACATAACTTTTGAGTAGCTGATAACGAAGATTTCGAGAAAGGTTCATGTTGGAAGTAGTAGAAGAATGTCGTCGTTGCAGTACAGATTTCCAACATCATTGTTGCCATTAACTTATACAATGTTTGACTATCGAACAATGATGATGTTGACTGATTCTCAAAGTAATTATTCAGACGACGATATTGAGATATATGCAAAGTTTGTTCAAGTGCGTGTTGTTCGGGGTTAGTCATTAAGCTCTCACTATGGGCTAGCTAAACAAATTGATCAAGTTGACAGCCCGACTACAGTAATGTGTAATGATTTTAATGTCATAATTGGAAGTCCACATCATGGTGTCGTCACATCAACTTCAATGGGGAGACATTCATCTGCAACTCCTTATTATATGTACCGAGGTGGGTTCACGAACAATCCGTATGACAACATCGCGTCCAGTTCAAGGGGAAGGCATTCATCTGCAAATTTCTTTGACCTTAATATGGAGATGCCATCGACGCAACAATCTGTGCAGTTTCCATTTGACACGATGACTTCAAGCTCCAGGGGGAGGCATTCCATTGCGAGCTTTTTCGATCTCAATGTCGATATGCCTTCTAGTTCAAGGGGAAGACGTGCAAGTAATAGGTTCTTCGAGCTAAATGTGGAGAGCATGGAGGAACCATCATCTCCACCAGAAGAACCGCTTCGTGAGCCTGGTGTGGATGGTGCTGAGACAGGACTATTCATTCACCCAGAATCACCACAATTCAACTCCGACGATGATGATAATGTAGATGAAGTTCCATTAAATGTGGTACAAACTGACCCTCCAGCACACATGTATGAAGCTGATTATTATGAAATGTACGGGCCAGAATTTACGGATATGCCTCATCTCGGTAACTATGGATGTTACTCATCAATAAATAATAGTGAGTTATCTTTAGGCATGGAGTTTTCAAGCAAAGAATAAGTGATGATGGCTATAAAAAATTATAATATCCGTAATTATGTTCAATCGAGAGTCGATCGCTCCACGATAGAAAAATATGTATGCTACTGTGCCCGACGCGAAAACGGATGTAATTGGATGGTTCGCGTATTGAAGAGGAAGAGGAAGAGGAAGAGAAAAAACAACAGATGGGAACTAACATTATACAACGGTCCTCACACATGTTGTGCTGGAGGGGTCAACCAAGATCATCCTAACTTAGACTCTGAAGTGATATGACAAGTCATCATGCCCATGGTAAAAGCAAGCTCTCATATAGTTGTTGATGTGTTGATTTCAGCTATACAATCGCAGTATGGATACACTGTTTCCTATAAAAAAGCTTGGTTGGCAAAACAAAATGACATTGTCAAACTTCATGGCGAATAGGATGCATCTTACAACAACCAAATTGTCGGAGCACACGATCAGTGGAGTGCCACTCGACGATCGCATAACAGATCAAAGGGACAATCGCCATCCAAACATCTAATGGTCCCCTCAACTCAGGTGGGATCACCATCCTCACATCATCATTAGAATATGACACCCATTCAAACTAAAACAAATATATATAATTTTTATCAAAATAATAATCTAATTATACAACTATAATCTAAAATCGATTTTTAAACATTAAAATGCATACATGTGTGTCAGTCTTCTGATCGATTAGCACCCTAATTTTTTCTAAATCATCAGGTAGCTCTTGATGATTTTTCCTATCAGTAGACCACCTATTTAAGGAAAACAAAATTTATTATACACTGTATAAAATGATTAATATACGAAATTAGTTTTATAATTACCTTAATAGTAGCGGAAATATGAATGTGTTCTTGACAAAGGGACATAAAAAGGGCAATCGATACCATGCCCAATACTGCAGCAGCATGAGACATCTGCCGATAGCATTTTTCCTGTAGTCAGTGGCTCAACACATCTCCCTGTTCAGGAAAGCCAAAACTGCCGAGCCTCAACTGAGTGATCCGGCCATACGAAAGTTGCCAAGATGTCGCAACCACATACAGTGAACTTGGTAGCGCGATTTGTCCGGCATCAGCAACCCTCCTATCAACTGTAGTATGCATGCCCGCGCATACATTTTAACTTCATCATCAGAGGCGTCCTCGCTCAACTCCCGAAAATTGGCATCTAACCAATTTAACGGTATCCGACCACCATTAAATTTTCCCGGGTAGATAGTCCCGACACAAAGCAGTCCATGAACCGTGAGCCATCCCCGATATCACATCTCCGTCCACCGAAAGCCCCAGGTGCATAGAAACATCCTCAAGTGTAATCGTGCACTCTCCGCACGGAAGATGAAATGTGTAGGTCTCCGGCCTCCATCGCTCCACTAAGACAACAATAAGGTCTGTTTCTATCTTACAGTGACCCTCATATCTACTTATGTGACCGAATTCAACCTCTACTAAATACGGCAAGACACGGCTAGGTATCACTAACTTAAAGTTCCTAATAAAAGGATCTAATACACGGTCTCTCTCCTAAAATTAAATAATTACAAAAATTAATTTTTAAACTAATAATCATGCATTAAATAAATAAATAAATTATTACTAATAATTTAAATTATATTAAAACGTTAAAATATTATCGTATCAGCAAAATGTCGCGATATATAATTTCTATCCAAGCGAAGTATACCTCCTTCTATTTTATATATGCAAAAAAATTAAATAAATAAAATATTAAAAAATTTAAATACTTAAATAAATTAAAAATAAAATATTAAATATAATAAAATATATATTAAATAGTTAAAATAGAATATAAGAGTATTTAAGAGAAGTTGAGAGGATTTGGTGTGATGAAAGTGATTGAGAATTGAGGTATTTATAGGGAGGGGTGAGATGTTAGATCAGCGTAAAACACGTTGTAGTGAGCGCGATTTATTATAAAGAGTGTTAGATCGAGAAAAATAATGTAAAGGGTATCTGATAGGAAAAATTAACGGTAAAAAATGATATTTCGGGAAAAACGCCGTGAATTTCTCTCCACTTAAAGCAAAAACCCCATACTACAGAAATCAACACCACTAAACTAAACCTTTTAGTTTCCCTCTCTTTTACCACAAGTCCCTTATCACCGCTCCTCCTCCCAAACCCTCCGCCGTTTCTCCTCCCAAACCTCCGACGCTGCCGCAATTCTCACGGTGGTTCTCTCTCCAGTATCTGGTTACCCATCATTATCGACAACCCCTCAAATGGCAGCATATGTTTCCTCTAATGCCACAGTCACCGCTTCTTCCGATGGTCCCGTCCTCGGCGTCATCAACAAACGACTCCGTGCCCTACGCAAGAAATACAACCGCATCCTCCAGATGGAAGAATCCGTCTCCCAGGGAATGCCCTTGAACAAAGAACAGGAAGAAGTCTTCCGTTCTAAACCCGCCGTCTCCGCCCTCATCGACGAACTCGAGAAGCTTCGTCAGCCTCTCTCTTCCGCCGTATCCGAAGAGATCTCACTCGCCTTACAGTGTCAAACTATTTCTCCTCAACAAGCTACCTCTCAACACCAGCGGGAAACCACTCAAGTTCAAGAACAGCATTCCGATGAGCCCCGGTACCGTGGCGTTGAGGATCTCCTCAAGCTGCTTTATATTGGGTCGTTGTTCGATGTCAAGTCTCATAACGATTTTACTTCCATCATGTTGACTAGGACTCACGAGAGAGGCTGTTGCTTAACTTATGATTACGTTACCGATGATGCTTCTGATCTGCTTAGTGAGAAAGATTTGGATTCGATTTCGATGCTGGGTGGACTGTTGACTTCACGACCTGCTGATTCTTGTTTATCTCACCAGAACGCTTTGTACCGTTGCATTCATCATGCCAAGCTTTGGCTTTCGCACTCCGATCAACTTATTGACCCCACCGTCGCCGTCTCCTGTAATAATTCACTCTAATCATCTATTTAATTTCCTTTTTATTGTTAATGTTTTGTTTCCTAATCTGTTAGATTCCCTTCTTATTATTGTAGATGCTGAGTTGAGATGTAGGCTTAAGAAGATTATGGATTTAGAATACTTCACAATCATGCCAGAGATGAAAGCTCCTGCTAAATTGGCAGCTGCTACTGTTGGGGCATATGCTTCATCTCAGGCCGAAGATTCAATTGGCCGATACGAGCAGAAGGTAACACTTTATTTTTAGTTTAGATACTAACGTGGTTAGTTGTTTATGAATTAATAATTGTTGGGATTGAAAAGGATATTTTTATAGCTCAGTTTAATAATGTGGGCACCCCATTAAATCTTTTGCTTGTATCTGTTTTGTATATTGTTAAGTCATGGTTATTGATTTTGCATGAGAGTTTAACTATATTATTTGTGAGTGTTTGAGGAATACTAATAGGACCTTGTTACCCTGTACTTCAATCATCAAATAATTCCTATGTATCTATGTTCGAGAATGCATGAAAGATTGTTTAAACACAACAAGCACTGTGTGCTATATCATCTGTACTTTCGTGTTATCTGAAACTGTAGATCATTTGTCTTTCCAATTGAAAGTAAATATTAATAATATGTTTGTTGAGATCCTTCAGAAGTTGACATTATTGAACTCTATTACTCTTTTTTTAATATGCCTAAGCTAGGATCACAGGTGAGAATTGCTAGCTGTGTCAGCAAATCCCCTTTATTCTTGGGAGGGGGAGTTGCTTGAGTAAGGTTCTTGGTATTGTTAATGATAATACCTAATCTAGGACAACTAGATAGGAATTATTTGATGATTGAAGTACAGGGTAAAGTAAAAGCTACCATAATAGAACTAGATAGTAACTATTGATCAAAAGTTTAATGTACTGGGCAATTGGTTTGCGTTAGGAATTGGGTTATACGAAGGATTCCCTATTTATGGATGGGAGATGACTCAAGGTTGAGTAATGGTTTGTATATTGGATTTTAATTTTTTGTGCTGTAGTTAAATAAGAGAACATGTAAGGTGGTTCTAGACATTGTTTCTAGTTTCATTGGAAATCATGCCTGAGATTGGGTATGTTAACAACCATCAACAATTTCTAATGCATCTGTTGAAATAGATTTCATTAGTTGAAAGAAGCTGCATGTATATATACAGACTTCTAGGATTCTACATTTTATCTCCAAAGCTGACTATGAGCAACTCCTAAACATGAAAGCCTAATTGGGTGACAAGAAGGTTGATAATACCCATTAGGGATTATTGAATGCTTGTTAAATTTCTGGACTTCGGGTAAATGTAAATGCTTTAGTTTTCCAATTGCGTTCTTCACACCTGGTATAAACCGGTTTGGATGTTGACAGAGGTTGCCTGCATCTCCTGGGTGTACAATTTTGTTTTACATTTTGTATGTTCGATATTTCAAAATTGATTCTCTAGCATAAAGCCTTTGGACCAATTAGCTTATTTTGCTAAATTGCGGTATATTAAGGATTTATAGTAGCAATGACATATCATTGGTGTTGGTTTCTAAAATAAAGGTACAAGTTGAATGAATTGCACTTGAGTGTGGTGTTTCTTTGTTTTCATTTTTAATTCAGAAATCAGAGCATGGTGTTTGTTGTCTATAACTTGATGTTTCTGGTAGTATACATGTTTTTTTTCCGGCATTGATCTACACATTTATAGTTCATTTTGAGCTGTTTTTCCTGTTAGTTGTATGATTCCAATAGGTATTATGTGTTTTTTTCAAATTACTTTTCATATTTGATGTAGGAAGAAGATGCATCAAATATTCAAGAATTTGAAACTAGTCAACTTAGTGCTGCAGATGAGCTTCACAAGGTGCCTTCAGTTAGCTGTAATGCTATATTTGTTGGATCTTATTTATTTGTCTTAATGTTGGAAGGCTTATGCTCTGCAGAATGAACATGAGATAGAAAATGGTACTGAGGATGTTCCAGTTCAACAGGAAAATGGCAAACTACAGGAAGATGTGGAGCATAATCAGAGAGATATTGAACCCAGTGATCAACAGTATGTCCCTCGAAGAACATATCAGAACCAAAGAGGTGGTCAGAGTAATGGGGGTGGCCGGAGGGGTTATTCTAATGGTAGAGGTGGCAGGGGCGGTGGAAGGAGAGGTAGCGCTTACCATCAGAATGGCCGTAGCCAGTATTATGATCAGTCCGACAACTATTATCCTAGGAACTACTATAACAGCAGGGGAAGAGGTGGCAGGGGAGGTGGCCATGCTTACAACAATCACAGGTCAGCAGTCCAGAATGGTAGTTATGTTGCGGCTGATGTCGGTGTGGCCTCATAACATCTTTGCTCGGTGTCGCTAGGGCGATGAAAATGTTTTTTTTTGCATGGAAAACATTGTTTGACCGTTGGTTGATCATTGATGTTGATATGGTACAAATCCTGGGCACCTTATTTAAACTTTTCTTTTGGCCGTTAGGTACTATTGGAATCATTGATTAGGAAGTTCTAGTGATATTCCTTTTGTGTTTAACATTTCTGTTCTTGCGGCCATACACCAATATTATTTAGGGTAAATTATGTATTTACTCACCTGACTATACCCGTGATTCCGTTTTGGACACCCGACTATTCCCGTGGTAACCCTCCATTTGCTCCCAAAAAAGTTATCGCACCCAGTCTTGAGCTTTACCCGAGACCTTTCTCTAATGGGTTCCCACTCAACAGTTGAGTCGGGATTCCTAGTAGGTGTCTAGATCACTTTTCTTCCTGTCATGCCTAGTAAAAAGGGTTGGTTTGAGGCAGTAAGGTACTTGTTGTAGGAGTTTTTTAGGCGGATGATGTGTGTTCCAGGCACAAACTCGACAGTCCGTTGGGCATTTTCAGAGGATCCGTTTTGGACCTTGTCTTCCTTTACAAAGAGATACTTGTCATGGTGGCTATGGAGATGCACAACTTTGGCATCAAGGAACAAATCCATTCCTGTCCCATGCTTGTTAAGAGTTTACCTGCTGAAAGGAAATGCAAAACATTTTAAGGGCAGCCATGTTTTCTTGTCATCCAAGTTATCTAATTAAGGAGAAAAGGTAGAAAAAGGTGTTAAACCGTAGTACCCATTCGGCTGACAATTTCGGCAACCCTGTTGAACCACCGTAAAACTTGGGGATTTCAATATGATGACAAGGCTGAAACCGGTAACAAAGGTAAATTATCGTAACCACCGTAGACCTTGGGGACTTCAATGATGACACGGCTGAAACTGGTAACAAAGGGATTGACAGCTGAAACTGGTAACAAAGGGATTGACAGTAAACTATCATCGCTCAAGGCCTCCAAAACTTAAGTGGACACGGATGAAAAGCTCCAAAGTGAAAACAAATACCTAATAAACAATGAAGGGAAACTCAAAGACTTGGAATACTCTCCCACATGCACCACCTCCACATCCCATAATACCCATTTCTTCGTAGCTCCACTTGGAGGTTCGTTGTGAGTGACGGAGTTCTGCCATGGCGGCATTTTCGGCAGTGGATAGGGACGGATCCATGAAGAAAGCAGTTGGCCTATCCGATCCCCAAAACGTGATGGGATGCTAATTTAAGGAGGAGAATCGAGTTGCTTTTGGAGTGAGCCTAACTAAATTAAACATCAAAAAATGACAATAAGTTGGGCACAAGCTAGGCCTTGTTTTAGTTGGATTCATAGTACATCCTCTTCCACACCCACCTTATCCTTATGGGAAACGTGTTATTTCTAATTCCGGGTTAGATAAGTCCACCCGTCATCACCGGTGGACCATTCAAGATTAAACACATTATTTATTTATTTATTTATTAAACTAGATGATTATAAAGTAATATCTATTATAAATACTCAATCATTCATGTTGTAATTGTTAGTGTTCAAACTCAAGACCTTAATAAATAACAATAATTCCTCTAATCACGGAATGCTCAAACTCAAGACCTAAAGAAAAAACAATCATTCCTCTAATCACTGAGGTAATTTGATTCATGTTATATATATATATATATATTGATTTGACTTCATGATGTAATATAAAATTTAATAGTAGACTCACATACTATATACTATATACTTAATAGTGATGATAATAAAATAATATTTATTTATAATATTTTTTAATTATTTATAATGAACACACACTCGTGCACAATTATTTAAACACAAAATCTCCACATGAAAAAAAAGAATAATACTCTCTCTTAACCCCTAAACCTCTTAAAAAATTATATTTTCATAAATACGTGAAACCTTATATTATGATAAATTATATAAATAGTCATTAATATTTGACTATATTTTTATTTTTTCCACTAAAGTTTTAATAGTAACAAATTGATCACTATGTCATCGATTTATAACAAATCGATCACTAATGTTTGAAAAAGTTTTTTTCCCCACTCTTTACATCTTTTAGGATAAACTTTTTATTTGGTAATTGATTTATTACTTAATTTATGTTTTTGATCATTTTTCTATTATTTTCTTAAATCATACTTAATATTACTATTGATTCTATTTTTATTACTCACCGTTAAAATATTAAATGTAATGTTGACATGTCACCCATCAGACAATATCATATTAATGTTTAAAAATAATTAAAAAAATAAATCATATCAGCGTCAATGTTAATTTTTTAATGATGGATGACCAAAATAGAATCAAAACATTATGTTACGCATGATTTCGAAAAATAAAATATCCTAGTAGTCAGAATAGAAACTAAATAATATCTGAGTGACCAAATCCAATTCCCACCACATTATTTGTAGGCCTAGTTTCAACCGCTGACATAAATCAAACGCATTGATCAGACGGTAATCAACTGAGGTGGAGTTGCACGTGAGAAAGAGGAGGGGTTTATGAAAGAAGAAGAAAATGGACCACCCCTTCCGACAAAACCTCACTGGAATTGATAGTTCGCAACTCCCGGGGTCTCCCCCTGTAATAAAACCAGAAAGAAGAAACTAGAAAAGGGGAAGAGGTTCGGTCCAAGGAGAGCAGAACACAAATTTGTGAACCAACAAACAATCTCCACTGCCTAAGGAGATCAACACTCACTCGCAAAAAACAAACGATAAAAATCCATCCTTCATCGCTTTCTGTTTCCCTTCATTGTAAGGAAAGTGAACCCAGAATATATATATATATATATATGCCTATTTTCCTTTTGTTGGGGTTTTTTATGTGAAGTTTGAGCTTGGGTTTGCTTTCTTTAATGGCGATGGATCATCTAGCTATGATGAGAGATAGGGGGTACAACCTGACGGAGATCTGGCTGTACCCAGTTGGACCCGAGTCGGGTCAGATCGTGGGTCCGAATCGGGAGGTTTCGGGTAATGAACCGGTTAGCTTGTTTCATTTTTCGCTTGTTTTCTCTTTGAAATCAACTAGGGTTTTTGTGATCTGAATCGTACTGATTCTGATCAACATTTTGCTTGTTTCTTTGATAGTGTTCATTCGACTAAAATTATTGGCGCATATATATCATATGGTGAACTGTTACGTAAGCACCAAAACACTCAACAATTTTTATCAATAAAATTATAAAATTAACGTAATTGATTGACATGTGTGTATGTTTAACTGGTAAAGTTTAGATGAGAGCATGTTACTCCAATTTAAGATGAGCATATGCCATTAATTTAAGATGACATGGTTAATGTTGCCTTGAAGCAGAAGCCATTAACATTCTCCAAAAACAACACTCTTTTAAGATTCAAAATGGAATGGATAAGACAAAATGTAGCATGTGCTCAAGCCTTTAGGAGTTGTTTGATTCAAGGATTGTGGGATTTCATGGGATGAGAATCTCACATTCCCATATTTAGTTGGTCGAGAATCTCATTTTCTGTAATGTTTTATTATCAATAGTAGATTTTTTTGGGTATATTATCGGGAATGTCATTACCTCCATTCCCTTAGGTATTGTAATATTACCGGCGTTTTGGACTAAAATGCCCTTAAATTTTTATTTTTTTTTCAAAAATATTATTCTTCTGTCATTGAATAATAAAAATTCTACGAATGTTAAATTATAAATTTATCCTTAAATTATTTTAGATTTACAAAAAAAAAATCTATAATTAAAATTTTATATGAAGTTCAAGGGTTAATTTTTTTTTTACCTTTTCATTAAACCTTTTTTATATTTTTAATTTTGTAAAAAAAATTATATAAATATTATGAATTTAATTTTTTTTAAAGAAAATATATAAATATTTTACAATTTGTAATATTATACAAATATATAATAAGGACAATTTGATTAAATATACATTCCAATAATCTTTTATTCCTTTAACCAAACACGGTATTCTTACATTCCTGCTAAACCAACCAAACACAAAATACAATATTCTCAGTAATTCTATTCTCTGGTAATCTTTTATTCCCACTAATAATCTTACATTCCGTGAACCAAACGCACCCTTAGTTGTATTCCACTCTACTTAGGGGCGGGTTATAACGATCGAACAGGGTCCCAGAATAGTAAATATCTAAAAAAATTAAATTTATTATAATAAAAATCTTATTTTTTTTTGTTTAACTTTACTTTACGAGAAATAAGTTCATTTTCATGATCTCTCTATCCTATGTCGTTAGGATTTGAGTTAGTAATATCACCAATCTTCCTATTTATACTGCATTCAAACTTTATAATTTTTAGTAAAGAAATTTGCAAGGACCCGAAATAGTAAAGGATTTTTTTTAAAAATTTACACAGGACCTCTAACATCCTAATCCCGGACTTTACTATACTCAGCTGCTTTCTTAAAACTTCTTCTCCTATTCATCTGCCCCATCAATAATTATACTGAAACAGATCAAAACCAGAGCATTACATTACAAACTTCAATCAATGATGGTTCAAATGGTGAGAGGGCATAAGCTTTGTGGACCCATGGGGCACTGCCTAGAATCAGAGATGGACTGATGGAAGACTGAAAATTATAGTTGTTATTCTAAAAAAATTTAAAATCTTCTATAATTTAGATTTTTTTTATATTTTTTTTATTAAAATTATCTCCTAAAATTTTATAAATTAGGGAAAAGAGGTTCTTATACTTTAGGGTACAATGTAGCTCACTCAAAAAATAAATTTAATGTAATCATTTGATTAGTTTTTTCCGTCGTTTGGCCGTTACAGTGTTAACATGGTAGTTCACGATATTAATGTGGTTGTCCACGGTATTAATGTAACAGTACACTTGTAATGTTTGAGTTTCAATTTAGTAAATTTATCATATTATCTGTCACATTATTAACCATTGTGTACTGCTATGTCAACACCGTAACAATCAAACAATAAAAACTGTTGGTTAAAATATCACATTCGATTTTATTTTTGGAGTTAGATGATATATTGAGAGAGGAAATAATACGATGGTCACATTATTTTTTAAGTACTGAGACCTTTGATGTCTTTTTACCATTAAAATTTTATAAGCTTATCTCAATATAAAATCTTACATCCGATCAGATTTATAATTATTCGCCTACCGACTCCTCACTACCAAATTATTTACGTTTGTGAACTGCCAAAAGAACCAAATTCTCATTTTATGTTTACCCAATTTGTATTTTATGCACTATCGGCCGGCCAACAGAAGAAATAGGCAGTAAAGTGTGGTGCACAACACAAAGAAGCAGGAAAAAATGGAAATTTTTCCTTTAAGTCCTTTGAAATTTTGAGGAATTATATGTTAGTCCAGTAATAGAATCCCTACCGATGAAAGCCAAATTAAAGGAAGATTTTAAGGTAGGTAAGCTTTTTCAAATTCTGTCTTACATTCCAGTAGTTAATGAGGCAGGAGAAGAAAATCAGGTCATCTTAAAATCGAACATCAAATTGTGGAGTTCAATGGTAACTTAAAAATTGAACAAATAATAATTTATCAATTTCTTATTATAATATATATATATATATATATATATATATATATATAATTGAAATAAAAATATAATGAAAATGATCGAAAGTAACTCATAAAAACATAACTTAAACATATTGTCAAGAAATACATATTTTAGTTTTTATCTCATATTGTCAAAAAAACATAATTTAAACATTTTAATATGTCTATATAAATTAACTCTATTAAGTTCTTCAACTCATAAAATTAATATGTATTAAATTACGATATTAATCTCTATAATTTTATTTTTTTAATTTTTTAAATGCTAAGACGCATATGACGATCTTTATATGTTCTTATGTGACGTCAACTCGGATAAAATACAGATAACTATCAATGTCTTTCTTGATGTGGTACCAATTCAGACGAAATTCCGTAAAAACACGAATGTTGATCTACATATTGTTAAAAAAAATATTAAATCGATAAAATTTGGAGAGAAAAAATATGTGACAGACAATTATTTCGTATCAAGGTAATTTTTGTTTTAAAAATCCCAAATTATCGTCATAAAAAAATAAAATTCATACCGTACACATATTTACTTAATTTTTATAGCTTTTATCTCACATC